TGGCTGCAATATAACAAAGAGTGAAAAATTTAAGGGGGTCTGAATACTTTCCGTACCCACTGTGTATATATATATATATATATATATATAAACATACGCACACACACATTTAAGATTATATACAAGGGCCTTATAATAGGTCCATATAGAAATACTGGGATTCAAAATCAAATTTAAACCTTTAAAAATATTATGCATTATTTCTGTTCTAAGGCGTTCTGAAATTAATATTTTTTTCACTCAAATTTGGTATGGTCACAATATAATCTGTAATGAACAATTGGTATTAAATTAGAAAATAGAAATATACAAATTTTTCACTAGTGGTCTCAGACTTTTGGACCCCATTGTATATTCATTTTGTGTATATGTGTGCATTTAGATTTTATTCCGTTACGGACAGCTCTGTTTCTCTGTCTGTCACGTTTTCCCTCTTGCATACATATATATCTTAATCATGTCCAGTCATTTGCATTCAGTGTACAGTGCGTCTCTCTCCTTAGGGTATCTTTGCAGTTTTCTCTGATTCTTCTGTCATAACAGACCATGATGAACAGATCATACGTCATCTATCTAGCCAATCACATTCTTCTACTGTGTTCGCTCCTCCATTCTCTCCTCTCATTCTAACATGTATCTTGTACTAACAGCAATTTTGCTCTGATCTAGGACTGATTGCCAGCTGGTGCATCTACTAACATTCATTTTGCCGTTTTGCTGTACAACTACAATAACGCAAAACAGTTATTTCACAAAATTATTCTCAGGAAGGTTCAATTTGGATGTTGACATGACATTAAAGTTATAGATTAAAGTTAGACAGATTGATAGTTATGTAATAGATAGATAGATAAGATGGATAGATAGATAGATAGATAGATAGATAAGTTAGTAGTTAGACAGTTTACAGACAGATAGTCAAATAGTTAGTAGTTATCAGTCAGACATTTACAGGCAGACAAATAGACAGTCAGTTAGTTGGTATATGGGTAGACAGACAGACAGTCAGACAAGCAGACATAAACAAAATATGCTGCTTTTGTCAGGGCAATTTAATTACACTGTGGTCGGTAAAGTTAACTTTGTTGTACAGCTTTTGAAACTCAAAATGTTCTTAAGATTTGCTGTGTTGTAATACACAGAGGTATCCATAACCATCTCATATAGAGGGGCCAACAGATTTACTTTCACATATTCCCATAGCTCACAAATGGTGCAATGCTTTTCTTACTGCAGGAGGGAAGCCATTTTTCACAAGGAACCCTGCAGAACTGAAGGGGACATTCATTAACACCAAGCTGAAGAAGAGTAGGCGTGGGTTTGGCTTCACCGTGGTAGGAGGAGACGAACCAGACGAGTTCCTGCAGATTAAGAGTCTGGTGCTTGATGGACCAGCCGCTCTGGATGGAAAGATGGAAACAGGTACAACTGAAAACAGGGGTCTCATAACACATCTTTGAGTAGTCTTTGTTCTTGGGCCAACACCTGTTTTGTTTTGTTCCCACAGGTGACGTTATCGTGAGTGTGAACGACACTTGCGTGTTGGGTTACACACATGCCCAGGTTGTGAAGATATTCCAGTCCATCCCTATCGGCTCTATGGTCGACCTTGAACTTTGCCGTGGCTACCCCTTACCCTTTGACCCTGATGACCCCAACACCAGCCTGGTGACTTCTGTGGCCATTCTGGACAAGGAGCCCATCATCGTCAATGGAAAAGAAAGCTACGACTCGCCATCAAGCCACGGGAGTGAAACTACAGGTGGCGGCGGTAGTTTGAATGGCTCCAGCGACCCACCTCGCCCCCACAGCCCTTCAGCAGAGGTGGCTTCCAATGGCTCCCACGGTTATCCCAGCGATGTGGTCACACTGGCGTCTTCGATTGCAACCCAGCCCGAGCTCATTACTGTCCACATGGAGAAGGGTGACAAAGGATTTGGCTTCACAATAGCAGACAGCCCGTCTGGGGGAGGCCAGCGAGTGAAGCAGATAGTGGATTACCCACGATGCAGAGGCCTGAGGGAGGGAGACATCATCATGGAGGTTAACAAGAGGAACGTGCAGAACCTGACGCACAATCAGGTGGTTGATCTGCTCAGCAAGTGCCCCAAAGGCAGTGAGGTGACCATGCTGGTACAAAGAGGTGAGCTCGCAAGGAAATTATGATTTTAAATGTTATAAAAAAGCCAGAAAAGAATGCTTCCACAACAGGTACTTGCAAGTGAAAAACTCTCTAAGCTCTGTTAGTCAAAGTTTACAGGGTTTATGGCATCATTAGACTGCACAGATATAACATTTCTGACAGATGGCATTAAGCAATAATTATTTTTATATTATGGCTGATAACCGATAAGTAGTCAATATTAAAATTCAGTACTATTTTGTCTAAATAGATTGTGGGGTCGAGAAGATTTTTGCAAAATATTATTCTCTTATGTTCACCAAGGATGCATGTATTTGATCAAAAATACAGTAAAAAGAGTAATATTGTGAATAATATTACTGTTTAAAATAACTGTTTTCTGTTTTAATATATAAAAAAATGTATACAATTTGGTTTATTCCTGTGATGGCAATGCTGAATTTTCAGCAACCATTACTTCAGTCTTCAGTGTCACATGATCCTTCAGAAATCATTCTAACATGCTGATTTGATGCTTAAGAAACATTTCTCATTATTATCAATGTTGAAAACAGATTCAGAAGAACAGCATTTAAAAAAAAAAAAAAAGAAATCTTTTGTAACATCGTAGATGTCTTTACTGTCAGGTTTGATCAATGCATCTTCGCTGATTAAAAGTATTAAATACTTAAAAAACATTTTTTACTAACCCCAAACATTTGAACATTAGTGTATGTTATGCATCCCTATCAAACAAATCTCAAATCTCCCTGTTTTAGATTGTCCCACTTCTAAACGTCACATAAAATAACAATCTCTGGTTGGCCGCTGTTTCCTGTTTAAGTGGAAGCTTTTTGATTACATGTTTCTGCTTTTACAAATATAGTAAGCTTGCTTTCTCACTTTTTCTGACTCTGCTGTTGTTTTCTTGTGCATGGGAATGTGAACAGGGTCCTGCAATGTGGACCTGACTTTATGCAGATTTTTAAAAGTCTTGCTACTCGAGCGTAGAGAAGGAAGTATACGTAAAATAAACCACAAACAAGGAAGAATGAGTTCCTGAATGATAGCTCATGCACTGCAGATGAAGAGAGAATGACAGGAAAGTGTCCAGACAGAGACAGTCTCAGGTGAGAGGTCTGTGCCGATCATGAATATGAAGTCTGTGACTTCTTTTCCCTTGAGGCCTGCCAAAATCAGCTGTCTGTTAACCCTCATCTGATACCTCCACACAGCTTTCTCTCTTTGTCTTGAATTTTGGGGGAGGAAGCTGAGATGGAAATGTCATGTTTACCTGCTATTGGTGGAAATCCTCTGCCTTACAGATGGCAAAAGAGAGTGAAAGAAACCAAGAGACAGACTAAGCAGAAAGGAGAGACGTGTGTGTGTGTGTGTGTGTGTGTGTGTGTGTGTGTGTGTAAGTAAAATGAGAGAAAACACTGAATACCAGCATCTGACTTTTAAAGAAATGTTACTTCTCATAGAAAGTTGCAGTTTGAGAGAATTACCCCAAGAGTTTTGCGCACACAAATCCCCTGGTCTTTCAGAACTTTAAAATCCTGTTTTCCCTGTTCTCAGAGCATTCAGTCAGAGCCTGGCACTCGGATTATTAAGTTGATGAATTGAAAGCGCTTTTATCTGTCTTGTGTAAGTGCTTTTAACAGGGCCAGGAAATTGCCGCATGACAATTGCAAGGCCAGAGCCTGTTGTATTAAAACATCCCCATTTGTCATTTGGGACAGTTACCAGCATGTAAACAAAAGTGTGTGCAGTGCTTATATCTTTTATGGCTCATCAATAGAGCTGCCGCCTTGCGATTTCGGTAAAGCCAAATTGTCCTCCAGGATTTGACGGCCTACTGAACTGACGTCACATAACTTGTAGTGTAATTTATGAATTACACAGAATAAGATAGCAGGACAGAAATGGTCTGTTTTATATCTATGTGTCTTACACTATTCCAATTATTTTTAAAAGTATAACTAGAGATATTTTTTTTCTGCTGTAGTTCAGATTTAAACATAGAAAATAATAATAAAATAAAAGTAATATATATTACAATTATGTATATATATTTTTTTTATAATAAAAAGCTGCAAAAAGTCAGAGAGAGGGTGGGTAATGATAATTTAATACTAAACCATGACTGTTTTGGTGCAAAATACCTTTACTAACATATATATATATGTGGGCCTCAGGGTAAAAAGATAAAAACATTTATGTTAAAACCTCTTTAATTGTCATTGAAGTAATCCAAGTTCACACCAGAGATGTTCTCTAATGTCTCTAAAATGTGTATGGGATGTTTTAAGTATTCTCTGTGCTCACATCTTAACTTTAATTGCTGGCCTTGATGTCATGCAGCAAATCCCACCACACAGAAATAAGCAGACACACACACACACACACACACACACACACCATTCCTTTTCATCAACAGTCACCCATTGCTGGCCTACCAATTAGAGTAGAGTCCGAAGAAAAAGCTAATGGGTAGAAACACGATTTATGTCTCTTCATTCCTTTAAACACATATATTCACACATATACACACAAATACTGAAACTTTTGAAACTGCAGCATGTTTGACCTATTAAAACACATTTCTCATTGTAGGAAATGCACTGTGGCGCTGCTGGTTCTCTGGATAATTGACTCGTATATAAATCTAGATCCTATAGATGGTTTGGCTTCACTTGATCTTCATTTTAGCTTGTGTCCGTTTTTGTGTCTCTGGTCCAGCAGGTTTGGTTGGTGGTCTTAAAGCTTTATTACTGGTACATCATTGTTTGAACATTTTACTTGCACATTAAGTTTGCACATTAAAAAAAACTTGAATTAATTTGATTCATTTTTAAATAATTTGATGATAATTTACCACAAAAAATATGTATAAGGATATAAATATAAAAAAATGATAATTATGAGGTTATTTTGAGGCTCATTTTTAAAGTACTTTAAAGCAGAAATGTGAAGCTTGTAATTTTATAAAAGCACTTACATTAATGCCTCTGTTAAAACTAACCCTAACTCTAAACTATTTAAATCGTAATTTTAGTCATTTAGTACCCAGAAAACTGAACTGAACACAGAAAATATTCCTTCAAAAACCAAACATTAATTATGATCCTATGTGATGCTTGACAGAGCATAAAACCAAACCTGTGGTTTCCAACGTTGAGCTGCCATCGTTGACTTTTTTTCTCCCATGAGGCTTGACCACTGTCAGTTTTTTCCTCTAGACATTTCTCAGCTGTTCAGGTCGAAATGTCACGCTTGCAAATGCTCAGTATAAAGGAAATGTATGCATCTGTTATGCCCGGGGAAATCAGTTCAACACAATGTGTGTTTGCGAGCTGAATGCATTATGGCTTCGAGTCAGTGGCCCAAAGGTCCATTCTGTCTCCCTGAAGTGTGTATGTTTATGTATTTTTGTCAGGGTGGAATCGCTAGTGCTGCGACATGTAGAAGGCCATTTCTAGCCTCATTGCAATTCCTCCTGCTGGTGTTTATCAGAATCTGCCACTTTGAGAAAGAGAGTAAGGGATGCTTTGGCTATGGATCGTGTGATGAAATGAAAAGGTGCATACTACTATCTGATCCTCTCCATTTATGAGTCGTCAATCAGCAATGACAGCACACATCTCGATTTCCCCAGCAAATATGAAACCGGCTTCTACTCAGGCATCGGCTAGTCTGGTCTCATTAGCTGCTACTCCAAGCATCCAAATAAGTGTGTTAAGGCTTATTCCCACCAAGAGGGAAATGAAAACACAAAACAAATCGTAAAACGTTAAACTATTCGCTCCAAGAGTGAAACACACATTTGTCGGGCTGTTGTTCTCACTGACTGTCATTAAGATGACGGGGAATGCTAACGAATAACTTTTTGCAGACATTGTAGACTTCTTTGGGAGAAATAGCTTTTGTCTTGTCGAGTTTATGTCATTGTACATAGTTTTTTTTTTTTTTTTTGTGGCAATAGGTTCACAAAAATTCTAATTTAAGTCTCTAAATTCAAAGATTTTAAGTCACTGCAAATATTCCCAGTGAAAATGTATACATTTTCAAGTTGTTTTCCTCTTAATCACTCAATTCATAGTAGAATTGCCAGAAAGCATTTCTTGTTTCTGTCATTATCATAAAGTGAAGCTCATCAGCATAATGATAACTTTATTGACATCCAAACCAACGGATGATAATGTTCTGTTTATTAAATACGCAGTCTGAGGTTATGTCGTTTACCACTTTAAATGCTTCTTCTTATTAAAGATGGGAGAATTCTGATTGGCTGTCAATGTTTTTATCATTCATCATCATCAAAAAAATAAGGTTTGAAAAAGTGATTCTGACGATGTTGTTTATTCATGTGGTTATTGTTGTGTGGTGTGGATGTTCCTATTGTCAAAGAATTAGAAAGATTATCAAACATTAGTAGTATCATAACACTTATTGTTCTTGGTGTGAACGGCACTTAAACCAGCAGGGAAATTAATCTAAGCTGGTCTTTTAAGGATGAAACAACATTGCTGTCTAGTTTTTCATTTCTGGCTGGACAAATACAGCTTGGGGAAGATAAACAACCATGATTAGTGATGTGTACGAAAGTACCTTTATTTAATGTTTGGAAGGAAGCATTCAAGCTAGGTTTTTTTTTGCACTTTTTGCATTAATTTGTGCTGAATTGTCCAGCAGCAAAAATAAATGGAGTTGCAGACAAATACTCAGTGGTCCAAAAGAAGTGGTGGCCTGGCTCTGTATTAAATCAAGAGGTTTTAGGTGAAAAATCAGTTTTTAGATAATGGTTGTGAGGTGCGTCTTCTCCCTGACTGCTCACCCTTTGGCTTGCTGAAGGGGTGAAGCATAGAACCCACCAATCACACGATTTCACACCTTGTTTCCATGACGATGCTCTGCTGCACTTTGCAGTGGGGTTTCCTGTTAAAATGATAAAGCGGAGGGGTCTGTCTCTCACACAACATGCAGGCGCATCACATTCTGGAACAAATGCCAGCAGGCAG